TAAATTGAATTTTGTAAGGAACCCAAAATAGTAGTGACTGGCTCATGCTTGTTGGTGATCTTATCAAGATTTGAGAGTCAAATCCTTTTGGATTTCAAGTACCAACCACTTATAGTGCTGCAATACACTATGTGGTGCTGTAAAAGTCCAATTTTGATGTTTACAAATTCAGTGTAGAAAAACAGACCTTAAAAAGAGAGTATACAATTAATTGTTAAGTTTGTAGGGTTTCAAAAGCATATATAACATACTTCCTTGTAAAGTTTATCTCAGTTCCATCTTCCTCTGCATAAACAGCAGTAACCATTGCTGTACTGGATACAGCTTTGCCAATAGGAGCTCCATGAATGAGATCCTGTGTTAGATAAACAAAAAAATTTTAATGATCTTAAATCAAGTCAACCCTGTTCCTTGATTCTTTCTTCTTTCTGCCCCTTGGGGCAAGAAAAAGAGAGACCAGGTTGTGATCAAGTAATATGCATAGCATAACATGTAGTCAATGCAGCTTATCCCTGAGGATTTTTTTCTGAGTATTGGATCAGTTAAGCATTCATTTAGGCTCACTGTGAAAAATAACTTTATCTTGACACTCATTCAAAACTTAGCTTAAAAAACCTTAATTCCAGCAATTAATTATGTATTTGATCTCACCATGACAACAGCCTTTTGGTAACACATGAATACAGAAGTTATAGTGAAAAAAATTAAATTGTATCTCTGGACTAGGAAATTCACTCACCTTAACAGTACGAACTCTAAGACTTTGTGTGCGTTCTCCAAATACAAAACTGATAGCATCCATTAAATTAGACTTGCCTAATAAAATAAGAATTTAAGTTACTTGTTTAATTTACAAGAGGTCACTCATAACACAATAAACTTTCCAAAAGAGTCAACCTTAGGTATTTAAACTGAATAAGGTCATTGTTCAACTCTGAAAAATAGGTTGAAGTAAAGAACATTTCCCTTCATCAACCAACGACAGGTTTAACCAATACCACAAGCTATATGACAGGCAACTTATTGTTGGTCATGCACCAGTGACACATGTATGTTAGTGAATCTGTAAGACCAACACTCATTTTCCAGTAATTGTGAGGAAGAGCTCCCTGAGTAACCCTGTTGGCTGACTATCAACTGACAGACAACCAAAAGATCAGCAATATTGGTAACATACCCAAGAATGAAAAGAAAAACAAAAGTTTGACTGTACTTCATGGATAATTTGAAAGTTAAAGTTACTCACTCAGAGTCTGAATACATTGAAACTCTTATAAAATGAGTTGTTATCACAATTTAACAACAACATTTCTGCTATGATCTCTCCCAAGACCAAGCTTTCAAATCCCCCCTAATATGCTTTGCAAACCTCTTTTGGTATGTCATGTAGTTATACTTAATGTTTACCTTCAGTCTAATTTCTTATTTCTTTAAATTTATAAATTTAAATTACAAGTGTCTTTGTCATTCTAATTATCTTGTCTATAAGGCAATAATACGATAATCTGTCCATGCTTGAGCTACACAAGTGAGTAGGCAACTGTGGTGTTTAGGTCTGCTGAATTTGGACGATAAAGACTGTATTACAATGATATTGTAACCAACAAGTTACCGACAGATCACCAACAGATTACCATCTGTCTACTTACAGGTCTACTTAATATTGTTGGCCGACAGTAAGTAGACTGTTGGCCGTCTGTCAGCCACCTGTAGGTCAACAGGTTTTTTCAGGGAGTTATTCCTCACAGTTACTCGTTTTTTCTTAGTAATGACTTGACAGTTCACTTAGAACACATACAAAATTACCAGAACATGATTTGGGTTCCTCTTGTCATTCAGTTTGACAAAACAATATAGTCATATAGTCCCACTGAGAACACTACTGTCTAAAAATTAGCAGCTAATGCACCAATCACATTTGAGGCAATTGTAATGGTTATGATTGGTATGTTAATCAAAACTATAACAAAATTTGTTGAACGTGATTGGTTATCACCAACTCAATTTAAGCACAAAGGACAGTGTAGATCACAAATGCCTTGTTCTTTTTTTTTGTTTATTGCTCTTGTACAAACAACATTAATTACAGTTCAAATTTTGCGTGCACTACGCTACCTTACATTATGTAACTTTGCATTACATAGCATGTATTTCGACAATATGTTCATCACAGTTTGTTCAGTTTACTCAGTAAGTCCACTTGCGAAGCAGAAATTATTTTCATTGTGCAACATGTCGTGCAGCTTCTTTGCCATTAGGCAGTAATTCTAAAGCATCACAACAAAGGTAAGTTTTGTATTACTTAGTTTTCATTGTTACTTTTGTTTTAGTTTTCCTTACCGTATGTGGTTTTAGATGCATTTAGCTTAGTTCACATTATAATAAGCTTTAACTCACTATTTTGTTGGCAGTTTTAACTGATCCAATCAATACCACCTTACATCAGCAATTGTTGAGATTAAATGTATTGTAGAGTTGCGTTAAAAACTGTCTGATTGATCTGCTGAGATTTAGTTGCCCATAGCAGCTACAGACAGAGTATGCGTCATGTTCATATAATGAACAGCGTAGGCATCATGCCTAATATATTGTAACTGGAAAGTATGTGTCAAGTGCTGGGCAGCCCTGTTGATGAGCCTTCCACCAACTTAACTTTTGTTTTTTATATAAAAACATATAACCAATGGCTACATTACTTATCAAATTTTGTCATATTTTTGATTGACAGGTTACGGGACTTTAATGGTCAAACTCTGTCCATAATCATTCTAATAAATAACAAATCAGACTCCTGCTGTGGTCATCCCATTTTGTTACTAACTCATATGATTACAGACCAAATTGGACTCCACTCAGTTCCATAACCATTGCTAATTTTTATTTAATAATAAAGTTTATTACAGACCAAATTGGACTCCACTCAGTTCCATAACCAATGCTAATTTTTATTTAATGATAAAGTTTCGGATTTAATGTGTGCTGCTCATTGGTTGAAAGAGCATGCTCTATGAGAGTATAGAGCATGGGGCTGAGCTAAAGCTGTCACACCATCTGCCAAATTGAATTATGTCTGACCTTTTCCAGGACTTCTCTATAGCTTTTTTCATTAATTGAAAGTGAAATTTCGGGAACAAGTGAGCAAGCAGGTAACAACAGAAGAACCAAACAAACACTTGTAAACAGGCCAGGCACTGTAATCTACATTATTATAACATGAGCAGACATGAAAATACTCAAAGAGAAAACAAAATGGACAGTCTAAGTTTTAAAGGTTTTCACGCTCAGTTACATTGTAAGCTTACATAGGGTAATAAAAATCAAACATAGCTAAAACTCATATAGTATATAAAATTTTGTGTTCAAAAACAAAACAGGAATGATGAAAAATGTAATTGAACTGGTATAACTGTTAAAATTCATACTTATCATGATGGTGTCAGAGCAACTGTGATCATGCTGAGGTCTATCACAGCTAGCTCATCATGATCTCCAGTCATCACAGTGAAGCAAGCCTCAGAAACTAAATCACCTGCCCTTCGAGTTACAAAATAAGAGCATGCTCTAATATCCTTTCCAATGCGCTGAGTGGAAGGCCACATCAGTCACTGTGGCCGACTTTTATAGTGCTATCTTTCTGAGCAATCTTTATGTTCAGCTGAATTTGGTTGTCGTTCATTTATAAAACCCTCGCCTTGAACAGTTTATTTCTACTTGTCATGTGAAAAAACTTCTGTGTTTTTGTGCTGCAATTTGGCCAAATTTCAATGAACACTTCACTTTCAGATTCTGTATTAGAGACTAAAAAACTTCATGAAAAAGTGTTAAATTCAATGTACCACACTATTTAAGTTTGTAAACTATTGCAGAATGTGAACTTTGATGGTTTTTTCACTTTGATGGTTTTTTAAACTTTGATGGTTTGACATTTTTGACAGCTTTAGTCTTGATCAGCCAATCTGATTATTTGAACTATTCTAACAGGGATTCTGATTCACTTATTATAGCATGCTTTATAAGAGTATAGAGCATGCTGACGACGCTGTTGTTGGCTTCAGAAATAGAATTTGTTTTTAAAAATTGAAAGTAATGCTTGAGGAATTCAACAGATTCTTTATTATAAAACAAATAGTGAAGCCTTGACTCTGTTCTGTTGTAAACTTTACTAGAGCACAAAAGCTATAGCATGAAAGAAGTGTAGGGAGAAACACAAGATTTAGTTGAGTGTTTCTCCCCACTTCTTGAGTGTTTTAGCCGCTTCCTAAGTGCTCATGAAAGTGAGTGCTTAGGTGCTAAGGTGAGTGCTTAGGTGATAAGTGCTTAGGTGATAAGTGCTTAGGAAGCAGCTACACTTGACTACCTCTTGTCTTTCTCCCTACACTTCTTTAGTGCTCTAGCCAGTTCCTGCATGCTTTACAACAGAACAGAGCACAGTCAAGGCTTCTCTATTTGTTAATTAACGCTTTGCTCTTAACAAAGTCAACTGTTGATTTGTCCATTTAAAGATATCTCCGTGCTTTCATTCTCAGAGAACCTGCAACTTACACACCACACAACTAAAGCAAATGAATATAGCTATAGTTACCGCATCCATTAGGTCCAATAACAGCTGTGAAACGCTTGAAAGGTCCAATAGTATGTTTTCCTTTATAGGACTTAAAATTTTCTAACTCCAGCCGTTGTAAATAACCCATCTTATGAACCTAAGGGAACACAATGTATGAGAGCTCAGCCAAACACAAAACGACGAATACAATTTTTGCGAATATATCTTTTACATTTGAAATACAAACACGAGTGACTCTTTAAACGTACTTTTATGACTGAAGGAATGCTCCCAAACCCTGCCGACTCAAGTTAGCTTCCAATTTAGCACAAATTTGGCGGGAATAACCATAACAGATAGACAGCGATCAAGACTGCCAGATATCCATTCGCGCATGATCAGTTGATAAGCTGCTGACTGGACTGCTGACTCGATCTCCCGTTCACTCATTGCCCTTGTTCGGTACGACAGACGATCCCCTACCCTACTTAGAGCAGGTTTCAGCACCTCACGAAGCGTGGGTCAGTAATATAAATTCTGCCTTAAAACAGTCTTTACACAGAAAAATTGAGTATCGAATTGCTTTGCATTCTTTATCCGGTTTTTATCTTTGTTAAACAGAATATAAGTCAAATTAGAAACTGTGAGGACAGGCTGGGGCTGAGTTTCAGGTTTACAAAGCAAAGAATCACCTCTTATGGAAAGGTTCATAGCCGATGAATTAGCTGCTCGAAACGTAGGTTATTTTCATCTATATTAAATTTAGACCATTTCCTCTGAACAAGCGCTCTTTGGATTTCTGTGTATTTTTGTACTCGAAGATTTTAACGCGAAGTGCAGTGAAGTACTCGTTCGAACGTTCATAGTTCTTTTTAACTTATCAACTAAATGACTGGGTATCTTTCATTCTCAGGAGGGATATGATAATTTAATAAACTACTCTTGAAATATTAGTATAGCTTTACTTGCCGATCAGACAGTTGCAACGGATTGAGGAAGATTGAAAAAACTACGAAATTGAGGCATTTGCAAAAAGTGCTTCGTATGAGAGGCAGTCACAATCAGTGTCAGATCCCAAAGGAGAGTAGTACTATAAAAAAGAATTTG